TTCGCCCTCCTACCGCCACCCCCTCGACGTATCCTCTCTCGAACGCCGGAAGATGTTCGCTGCAGGCTGCCCGACTTTACATTATCCGACGATCCAGTGGCAGCGGTGAGGGAATGGGCTCGGCAAGAGTTCTTTGTCAACTTGGATCCCGGCTGGGTGCACGTCTATGTCGGCACAGGATGCATCGGCGCTCTCATCCTCATAGCCGGCTTCATCTTGTTGCTGCGCATTTACGCCAAAACCTTTTGGATCGCTCGATGTGAGTCGCGCACAAAGGCGCTCGCTCGCTCGCTCGCTCGCTCGCTGCATTTGGTGGCGGAGGGGGGACTTGATTGTGCTGCTCCAGCTGACCTGTTGCGCAAGCGGCCGTCTCCCATGCCCCGCAGTTCCCCGACGGACGTATGGCCGCGTCATTGTACCAAATTCGCTGCTGGGCTGGACCTTGGGCTGTGGTGCTTTTGGAACGTGAGTGTGACGACGGCTCACCTCACTCGCTCTCGTCTTTCATCGAGATTCACGGCTGAAACAAATGCGCCATCTCCTGCAAACACGAATCTGCCTCTTCCGCCCTTTCCCCTTAGCGTGCTGCTTGCCGTCTATTGGAAGCTCTATGCGTACTTTAGACTGGGACAATGGCCAGGAAGCTTTCCGCTCTGGATCGTTACTGCCTGGTATCCTCTCTACCTTGCTGCCCACGTAGCAGCCTGGGGTCTGTTCTACGCTGTTCCGAGTGATTTGACCGAGGGCAGGCTGCTCCAAGGCCGCAGCGGCATCCTTCGAAGACTTTTGCATCCAGCCATTATCAACGTGCTGGGCGTCTGCCTGCCCATCATCGCTGCCATTACCGTTGCCATCCCGCTCGTCTTTGCGCAAAAGCGCTACAGCGAAGCTCTAAGGATGTACGGCGAATGGCTGCAAAGGTACGAAGGACAAGAGACGCTTTCGGAGGAGATGCTGATTGATGCTCAGCGCTTCTGGTACAAGCTCGTCGACGCTTTCCACATCATTGGCGGCATCTTTTTTGCATGGACATCTTGGGGAGTTCAGGATCTGACTGCGTACGCGTGAGTAGGCTCGAAAGAGGGCGTCGTGTAGCGGACGATGCTGCCACGAGCTCAACCCTGGCTCCTACCTTTGCGCACGCCTCTCTCCCTCTCAGTTTCGTCAGCGGCCGCCTCTTGCTCACCCTTTGGAAGCAGATCCGAGCAGAGAATCCCAACGAGAATGCGTGGGGACTGGTCACAACGATAGCTAGACGGCCGGGCAACGATGGCGCGGGGCAGAGCGGGCCAGAAGAGACGGCAGAGCAGGAGCGCGACGCAAATGAGCGATCAGCAGACGACACGCTGGAGGCCAAGCTGGTCAAGTCGCCTTCGGACTTGAACAGCCAAAGGCGGCAGTCCGATGCGCAATCGCCCGCCACGATAGATTTGGAGCGCGGCTCAGAGAGGAACGCTTCCTCGTTCGCCGCCGCCGCCGTCCCTACCACCACCACCGCCAACTCGCCCATTGCTGCGGCGCAAGCCACTCCCAAAATCGGCGCTGCGAATGCGCGCTCTCGCATCGTCCATCATCGCATCGAGAGATCAAAGGAAGCAGCAGGACGTCGAAGGAAGCGACATCACCTGTACTCCGTCTTTAACCACGTCTTGCTTCAAGCCGCGTCCATCTTGACCGCCACCATGTGCTACTGCGCCCTCTCGCTTTGGACTGCCGTGGTCATGTCGGGAGCGCATGAGAATCCGTACAACCAGTATTCCAGCATCCTAACAGCAGAGCTCATCATTTCCGTCTACCTCGGCATCATCTTTGGCGGACTGACTTTGCTGGCCATTTTCAAGCACACGTACGAGCCCGTGCTGCACTTTGGCCAGATCAGCACGCGTTTCGCACACGGTAGCGGCAGCGGTAGCGGATCGGGCGAAGGAGCCAAAGCCAAGAGGCGCAGGTCGGGGGCAGCGGCTGCTGCGCACGATGCAGCAGGCGGCGGTAACAAGGGCATAGCTCTCTTCAAGCTGGGTGGCGGCGGCGGCGGCAGCAGCAGCGGCAGACCTCGATCACAGCAGCTCCATCAGCCCTCTGGTCCTGCCCTCACCACCTTTTTCGAGTCCGAGACGCTTCACCCTACAGCCACGATGGGCAACGTGCGCCTAGCGCCTACCGACGAAGAAGAGGCTCTGCGACGCAGCCTCAGCAGAAGCGGCACCAACATTTCCAATTCGCCCTTGCTCGAGGGGGAGCTCAAAGAAGAGCAACCAACCAACGACAGCGAGCTCGAGGTTCACTTGCCGCTTCCGCAGAGCCGCAGCACTTCGCGTCTCGCCTGACATGCATACATACATACCTGGCCCAAAAGCGGACCGGACCGCCCCACCCAACATGATATCTGCAGGCATACGCCCACCCGCACACATCCATACCCCCGCGAGTGCACCAGCACGTCGATTCTTGTAACCGCATCGCATCGTCCCATGTTCCTACACACTCTGAATGGACATCCCTCTTGCCCGCGTCGACGCGCACATCGTTCCGTCTGTGAATACGTATACCTCTATCCGATTGTAAGCTACCAAGCGGCGTGCGTACGCCCTAGACTTGACGGTACGAAAGTTGGAGATGGGTGCGGAGAGAGACACGCCGCTGTGCAAATGGTATCGAGGGCAAGTAATTCTGAGCAGGCTGCGCTCAGCTGCTGGGCGTCGCATCGTTGCTGGCAGCTGCAGCAGCGGGCACTGCTTGCGCTGGCTTGCCGTTCTTCTCTTTCTTGCCCTTTTTCTCTGCAAAAGAGTTTGAAAGAGCTATCAGCCACCAAAGTCCGCAAAATCGACCGCGTTATGCTCATCGGCTCTCACTCTTGCTTCCTGCTTCCGCGACAAGGCGTTCCAGCTCTCGTCTCTCGTCGTCCTCCGCTTCTGGTTTGACTTGCTTGTAGATGGCACCGAGGAACGCGAGTGCCCGTGCGCGATTTAGCAGAGTCTGAGAGGGTGAGAGAGGTCCAGATGAATTACAACGAGCCTCGGTAAATGAAGAGCGCTGTTTGCATCGTGGCTCACCTTTTGGTCGACGCCCTTTTCGTTCAGTAGAGCGTCGCAGACCCTTCGCAGCACGGAAGTCACCTCCCAGCGAGACGCTCTCCAAGTCTGTGATGGGAAATGGATGCATTGTCAGATGACTGGAATGCCCCTGCTCCACACGGCGTTCGGTGACTCACAGCGAGTAGCATCTACGGTCAGTGTCGCATCCCAGGAAAGACAGGGGTCAGCCAATCTTTTGGCTGTGCGCGAGCCGAGCCTTTGCACCCACCTTTCCGCTCATCTCTTGCTCCATCAGCTTGAGCTCTTCCTCATCCAAATCGCCCTTCTCTTGCCTCTTTGCCATATCCTCCATGCTCATCTGCACGCTCACTGCGCTGCCTAGGAGGCCCCACATTTCTTTGCCCACTGTGCCTTTATCTTTTAGCTTCGAGAAGAATCCAGGCAGACCCAAAAAGTTGCTCGGTCTCGATTTGATCCAGGTTGTGGACTTGGACAAGTAGATTGAACCAATCTGATGCACGATGCGCACGTGCTCAGCGCTCGCTAGCTACATGAACGAACCCGATCTCACTCACTGCGTGCAAGAGCTCCACGCCAAACGACTCGAGCTTGAGGTCTTCTGCTTCTTCCCTCATCTTGCGCTCAAAGATTTGTGTCTCTGAATCGTTGGCATCGCCAGGGTGCTTGGCCTGCATTCAGAGGTGCGCAAAAGGCTGTCAGTTGTGATGAAGCTTGACAAGTTGTGGCGAGGGGGCGATGAGACGCACCTCTACAAATGGTCTGATTCGATCCTTGAGCTTGCGAGTCAAGTCCTCTACTCTTTGCTTCTCCTGCACCTCCTTCTCCCTCTCTAGCTCTTCCAGCTTGGCCCTCTGTTCTGGCGTCAGCTTGGCCCTCTCTTTCGCAGACGGCGGTGGCTTGTTGCCAGATCCCGCGACCTGAGAGTCCGTGGAGCTGGCGGCGCCCTCTGCGCCCGAAGTCTGTGTTCCTGTGCCAGCGGGCGTGCCGGTGGAAGCAGCAGACGCACCTGTCGAAGCCGCTGCGCCGCCCACAGCCCCTTGCTCCTTTGCAGCTGCCTCTGCAGCTGCAACAGCACCAGGAGTGTCCGCCTGTTGAGCTCTGAGAGCCTCTTCCGCTTCCTTCTTCTCCTCCTCTGTCATGATGATTTCGCTCGCTTTGCCAAAGTCCTTCAGCAGCGAGATCTCGCCGATAAGGTCCACGAACCGCTCGCCACCAAACAGCTGCCCAAACATCTCTGTCGCTTCGTGCAGACCCACTTCTCCCGTCGGTTTTCTGAGTGGGGGGCGTGGAGGAGACGCTCAGGTGAGCGGAATGCGCATCCCGACTAGCAGCCGAGCGCGCATGCACTCACTTCTTTCCGTGCTTGTCATAATCAGCGCGCAGGTGGTTGTCCGAGAGCACGCGGTAGGCTTCTCCAATGAGCTTAAATCTGGCATGTATGCGTGGATGGTGGGTGAGCAATTGCTTCGAAAAGGTGCAGGACTGCGATGGACGAGAAGCGAGACCATCGTCGTTCTACCGACGCCCGTCCGGCCGCACTCACCGCTCTTCATCGCCGCCCTTGTCCGGGTGATGTTTGATGGCCATCTTCCTGTAAGCCTTTTTGAGCTCAAGATCTGTCGCTTGGCCAGACACGCCGAGCAGATCGTAATACTCCATGTCGGCTATCTTGTTCCCGTCTCTAGAAATGTCCCTAGCAGCGGCTGCGGCTGCGGCTGCGGCTGGAGCAGCTCCATCGCCAGCGACAGCTTCGGTAGTCGACATTGTGTGTGCGTACGTGGGTTTGTATGCTGTGCCGAGCAGAAGCGTTGAACTGTGTACCTTTGAAGCAATCGACCTGGGAGGTGCTGCAAGGGTCGTCAAGGTGGGAGGGGGGAAGGGAGCGACGACTTTGGGTGAGGGAGATGATGAGGATGATGATTTCGCTCCGAAGCGCAAACGCATTCATTGATTCACATTCAATTCACGATTCCAACGATTCGCCCCTCTTCTGCACGTTCGCCCTTCCATCCATGCGCTCCATGCGCTCACATCCGCTCTGCTGCTGCATACGGCGGCGGCAGTACGCGGCGCGGCAGTCACGTGTAAGTCAAATCAGATGAGTCGTGGCGGTGCGTTTTGCTGTGCCACCAAACCTGCGAGCCAGCTGAGCATCCGCGATCACTGGCTGCTTAATTGCGCTCGCTCAGCCATGCACGAACTCATCAGTCAGTCAGTCGGCTGCTTTGGGGCATGAACGCAGCAGAATGGCAGGCAGGCAGGCAACACATCCATCCTCAAACCACGCGAACTGTATACGAATCAGAATGTGAATGCTTGCTGCTGCTGCTGTTTGTGTCGCACATACAGTAGGTGTTTCTCCTCTGCTGCCTGCATATATGCTTATATGGGACCTTTCACAGCCTCACACACGCTCACGCGCGCCGAATCAAGAATCAAATCATCGTCAATCGAATGTGAATGTCCGGTGCGCACCTCCTTTGCAGCCAGCGTCTCACTCACCTCCATCGATCAGCACCGATAGCGTCCGCGCCAAGCCTAAGCGCCGAGCGCCGCGCGCATCTACTCAACACTCACACTCAAGACTCGTGACTGCAATCCAAGCTCAGGCCAAGCACGTGTGGCGGACGCGGACGCGGGCGCCGAGTCGCGTGGACAGTGGACTCGTGACTTTTGACTGCATTCAATTCATTCAGAGACAGCCATGCAATTTGAATCATGAATCTTGAATCAATTGAATTGTGATTTGATTCACGTGATTACAGCTTCTCTCCAAGTTTGCTGGGGCCATGCTCGCATCGCATGAGGGGGCGGTGATGATGCATGTCAAAGTTGAGTGCCGGCCAGATGCAAAACAACACGGACAACAGTCCGCGCTCAGCAGTCCGCGTCCGCTTTTGAAACGTGTTTCGCATGGCCAATAGTCAGTGAGGTTGGTTAATCGATACAGTACAAGGGGGTGATGACAGGCGAGCGGGCGGCACGAACATGAATGGAGGCACGGCATGTGTGTCGGTAGGAAGGCAGGCAGGCAGCGCGCCGAAGACAGAAAGGAAAGGATGACCGCGACATACTACTACTACTTACTGCCAACATGCACTACTCGTCCGCTTGACCCGAAATATAGTCCTCGCTCTCCGCCGCTCTGTACTCCTCCATGAGCTCCTTGACCGTTTCCTGCGATTGATCAAACTCGGTCAAATCATTGGCGAACATGGGTTCCCTCTTGTACATTTCCAAAAACGCATTCCTCTTTCTCAACTTGTCGTACTGGTCCAGCGTCCGCTTAAAGATGCCGCTGATTCCCGTATGATTGGCAAGCATAAGTCCCGACACCCTGTGAGTCGCTTGAGCATAGGGACTCCTCTTCGTCAGAGCCACCTGAATGCTCGCTGGTCCCCAAGGGATGAAGCTGGCCAAGTGCCTCTCTCGAATCCTCAGCAACGACTTGTGCACATCCCTAGGATCGATGGCATCGCCTTGTATGATGTTGAGAATACTGACGTAGCACGCTGATCTGCTGCACCCTTGCGTCGAGACCATCCGGTTCTTTGGCTGCAGCAATCGCCGCATCACGTCCAACACCGACGTCTTTGTAGTCGCTTTGCCTCGCTCGATCGTGTCGGACGTGAATGGCGTGTAGGATGTCATGAGGAAATGCGCGCGTGGTGTAGGGATCAACGACGCGATCATGCCGACCTGCGCGGTGCGAGACGGTGCTCTTCATTCAGTCATGGGTGAAAGGGGGATGCGGGATGCGGGATGCCCGACGCAAATAGCCTCACCAGATCGTTGTTCATGTAGCCAGGATACCTCAAGGTCAATGTTGACGCGCCCATGACTGTGCTGACGAGCTGATTCGTTTGGCTAAGCGTGCCACGACTCCTCACGTGTCAGCTACGACGGACGCCGTTTCCTTGCCGTCGACAACCTTTTTCGTACTCACGAGTAGCTGGGATTCTGAAGGTGCAGCCTATCCGCAGCGATGCGCGCCAACTGAGCATTGTCGAGCACGACAACGCTGTCTGCGTGATCGATCAGCCTCTTCATGCTCAACACCGAGTTGTAAGGCTGCACAACCACATCCGAAGTCTCCTCCGAATTGGGAAAGACGCTGTACGTCTGGATCAGCTTTTTTGGGTACTGGTCAGATAACCTTTCCAGCAAGAAAGAGCCAAGGCCAGAGCCGGTACCTCCAGCAATCGAGTGCAGCAGCATGAAGCCCTGCCAGTCAAGTCGCGCGCCGCGCGCAGGCGTGGTGGTGTCAGTGTGGTGGCAACAGCAGGCAGGCTCTTTTGCCCGACCGGACGTCTGGACACGGCATGGTGAACGCCACGTGATAGACTCACCTCCAAGCTCTCGCTGCCGTCGGCCTCCCTATCGACCATATCGATGAGCTCGTCGGCAATCTTGTCGCCAGCCGCATAGCCCTGCGCCCAATTGTTTCCCGCACCACCCCCATCCTTGCTCAGGTGTATGTTTTCCGGATTATAAAGGTTCTTGTACGTGCCGTTCATTATCCCCCCAATCACTCTCGGTTCCAGATCGACCAATATGGCTCTGGGAACGTAGTGCTCGTCGTCTGCTTGGTAGAAGAACACATCCTTGCGATCGCCCGAGGACTCGGTTGCAAATTCTGATAGTGTGCCGTCTGGCGCTATGCCATGATCTCGACAAAGGTGCTCCCAGAACTGCGAGCCGATCTGGTTGCTGCGAGCACCAAGAGTTGCGGCCAGGTGTGTGTGTGTGTGTG